ACTGAATGTGATGCCTAACTAAACGTGTGGGGTATGGTCACTTGTCCTGGATTTGGTTTGCTTTACTTAAAAAAGTCCAATATCCTAGGAAAAATGAACAAACTGGCTGATCTCTATATCTTGAAGCAGTGTGTTGGTGGAATTGCAAATGGACTAATTTTCTCCTTTGATGGGTTATAGAAAACAGGATTAAAAATCTTATCATGAGGACATGGCTTCCAAGTGACAAAAGAGCCTTTTATTCTGCCTTCTAGGAATGAATTTTTTTCCATATCTTAGTTTATACAGTCACCTGCTAACAAGCCATTGTCCAAAGTCCCTCCATGAAGTCACTGGAGGTGTTCTCCTCTATTAAACATAAAGCAGCCAGATCTTTTCTGCTCACCAGTGGTCAGCCAGGTGATCCGGTGCCTGCCTGCTTAGGAGAACATAGTTATATCTTCCCTTTGCTGTGGGATTGGAAACAGGAAAGGAATCTCTGTTTCCCAAGACCCATGAAACACTTATATGAATGTACTTGTTGCATAGTATGTGTAATTATGCAATAAAGTCAGCTGTTTAGCTCAGCTGCAGAATGTTGTCTAGTAAGGAACCACCTCAAATCAACAGAGAGATTATCTGTGTTTCAGAGCCATTTGTAGTTCACTGATAGTATATTGATTAGAATTATTGTAGACCCGTCTGTCCAAGCTGCACAGCTGGGATGCTTGACTTCATTGTAAGAAGCTGCACCACTTAGGATGCATGACCCCTTGTACATGAAGTTGGAATCTTTTATTCAGAGCTCACTGTATGAAAATTTTCCCGATTGCTGTCCAATTAAAGAATTCTCTTCTTTGGAGCTTCAGTACATGAAGGTGCTAAAGTTATTAATGGGACTAATTAATCCCACCTACCCCACTACATTATAATAGAAATGAAGTTCTGCCAAGTGAAGTGTCTCCTTTCTTTCTGGTGACATGTGAAAGTAATAAATTAAAGTCTAATCTACACAGTTTCTTTCCTTCCACAATTTGTTCTAGACAGGATCCAAGAATGCTGAGGTATTCACTTAGCTTGGCAGATTCTTCTGTGGTGGGAGCTGCATGGACAGGAAATGCAGGCCTCATAGTGAATTCACAGACAAAATCTGGCCTGTAACAGAGAAGCAGAGCTGGCCTCATGACTAGGTATAATAGGCAATGCTCATGAGTATTGTGGAGAGGGAGGTGAGGAGTATGCCAAGAGTGGGGGAGGTAGTTAAGTGGGCAGAGCGTCTCATAGAAGGAGTGGCTTGGTTGCTTTTCTGACTGGTGTCGAGGTGCTGTAAGACATGCAGATGGTTATTTTAAGGTTCCTTCTTTCACTGAGCTTTTCTTTCAAGAACAGCAATTTTTTCTTCCTCCTTTTAGACTTGGCAAAGCCTCCAGTAATTGAGCCAAAGGATCCGGAACAGCTGCCAATGCAGACCAACCCGCTTCTGCTTTCCTACACCCTACAAGAGCTGTTGAGTAAGGACACTGTGCAAGTGGAGCTTATACCTGAGAAGAAGGGCCTCTTCCTGAAACACGTGGAGTATGAAGTTTCCAGCAAGGTAATGTGGGAGTGGGAGAACACCAGTCTGTGTGGGAGAGTGTGTTTTTTCAGGAGTTTCCATGAAATTGTTCAGCCTGTATTCAAAAGCCAGGTAACTTTTTAAAATCTATTCAGTGTATTGGTGATGCTGGTTTGAATCAAGAATTCAAGAATTGTTTGTATAGGTTTGCCCCTGCAGCTTACTCCTAACCACTGCTTTTCTAATGCTGGGACTGACCAATACTGCTGTTGTTTTGTAAGGTGAACAGACCTCCTCTGAGGACTAGAGTGAAATTACCAAAATCACTTGAAGGCTAGACTGTATTTGAATGTAGGTATGGCACATCCAGCAGCAGTGAAGGTTCTCCCCCGCCACTCCCAATTTCTTTCTCCAATCCTGACTTTAGGGATCACTTTTGAAGTAAGATGAGAGTCCAGTTTCTATGTCCCATTCAAGTTTTGTTCCCTTTGTGAGACTGCTCAATAATGTCTTCTATGTCTTTATTTTTTTTTCCTGATGAGGCTATCTGTCCCCTAAGAACTGGCCCGCGAGCACCAACTCACTCCACCCAGGTCACTAAAGAAGCAACGGTCTGACAGTGTTGTATCAATTTTCGGTCAGTATTGTCCTTAGCCAGAGTTACTTTCAGATCACAGATGTGAGACTTCTAATCTCATTACCAATTCCAAAGAAAAAACAGTTTCTTGCCATTTCAACCAGAAAGGACATTGTCTCAACGACCTAATCACATGCATCCTACTCCAGAAGACTTTCAAATCTGCACTTGAAAGGGAATCCTCTGAACTGTCATTCATGCTAAAATTTGACACTCTCTGCTGGGGGCTGAACAAAGACCCCAACTACCTTACCCATTACAAAGATAGCTTCCCCGATTATCACCTCTAATACCATTAGCTCACAGACATTTACCTTCCTTCCCTGCCCCCCTTCATCCCCCTTCTGTTCTGAAATGTGATTTGTCCTTTTCATATGTGTTCATTTTTTTTAATTGTATCCTTTGGTATATATGGTTGTGACTATTTTCTTCCACTATTTGATCTGAGGAAGTGGGTCTGGCCCACAAAAGCTCATCATCTAATAAACCATCTTGTTAGTCTTTAAAGTGCTACATAGTCCTGTATTTTGTTTCAGTTTCCAATTCCCTGAGCTGTCATCAGACCCCTTGTTGATTCTTCCAACAGTTCTTTCTGTGTAATGAGATTCTTCATAGAAAGGCAGTAACTGTTCCTTTGGCACCTGCTGAAATCTGTAAGAACAGATCAGAGCAGATACAAGGAGGGCCTAAGAGCTGTATCTATTGTGTTCCAGTCATTTGTTATTTCTGAAATCACATCGTTCTGCAATAGGTAGTAGCAGTGTAGGATATAAATGTAAAGTGCATGAATGTAATGACATCTAGTCTTTTCAACATGCTATTCCATCAGCTAAATGTGGTTTTTAAATGACTTGCCTGTGTGCCTCTCAAGTGTCCCTCTTAATGTTAAGGATGTTAAAGGTTAAATGGTTAACCAGTTATGGTAACCATATGCCATAAGTACCAGCTTCTGCCATGGCCAGTGGTTATCTGGTTAAACAAATAGTTTAACCAGTAAACTCTTTTGGGCAGTTTTTACATCCCTACTATATGTGCTACCTCACTCATCTTGGACCCAAATTAATCCCCAAAACCTGGGTGATCTCACTGTTCATTCCTGAAATCTGACATCAGGCAAAAATATTGACACTAAGATGATAAACTTTCACACTCTTCT